CCATTCATCTATTGAAGGGCATCTAGGTTGGTTCCACATTCTAGCTATTGTGAATTGTGCTGCTATAACATTGCTGTGGCTGTGTCCCTGTAGTATGCTCTTTTTAGGTCTTTTGGGTATAGTCCGAGAAGGGGAATAGCTGGGTCAAATGGTGGTTCCATTCCCAGCTTTCCAAGGAATCTCCATATTGCTTTCCAAATTGACTGCACCATAGATATTCTTTATAATCTTCTCAATTACCTCAAATTTAACTCCTCTTGTCTTGTCCTTAACCCAATTTTAGATTAAAAAAAAAAAAGCAGAAAACATTTTTTTCTTTTCATAGTCTTAGTGAACTCAGAGGTTTTGTAATAAATTCCTAAAATGAATTTGCACATTTTATAAGCCGAAATATGAACAATTTTTTCTTTATGATATTCAATTTTAGAAATGGCATTTAAAATGTAAGAACCTCATTAACAATTGTTTCTGTATTGCTTGTTGTTGCAAACTACACTTTCAAATGGAACAAATTTAGTTAACTATGATTTTTGCTGGAATCAATTAATATGCTTGGATAATACATTACAATATAATTAAAACGAGAGAAAAGGAGAGAAAACTCCTAAAACTAGACATCAATGGTAGCCACTGGAAAAAACCCTAAGAGTCCTGGATAATTATTACATTTATGGTCAAGATGATTTAACAAATAAGCATCTTAGGAACGCTAACAATTTTAACTAAAATATCTATCAGTACCATTAACAACATCATCCATTCTTTCTTTCATTTGGCAATATAGCTGACTAAATGTCAGTGTTCCGGGTGCTGGGGATCGAAAGCTCTGCTCTTTCATTCTACTAACATCATTCACAGACACTTTTAATGTGTGCTTACGACTGCAAGGCACTATGCTATAGATGTGTAAAAAAGGATACATAAGGAGATACAAAACCTTATTAACTTTGCCTTAAAAAAAAAAAAAGGCCAGTTTTAAGTGACTGCTCTTTACAAGACGTTCCTAACCTCAGATGACTTAGCGAAAGCTCCGTTTAACACTTAGGGACTAATCACTGAGCATACCCTATGCAGATAATGGTTCAGAAAGTTTTTAAACGTATACCTTGTCTTACAATAACGACCAAACCAACCGCCCAGGAGAGGGTGAATGAGGAAGACATCTGGGCAAGAACGAGCTCGCCGCGGAAGTGCCTCCTAGTCCCACCCTTGCCCCGTGGCCCGGCGAACTCCCAGGTCCGAGCAGTGCAGGTGTGGGACGGTCTCCGAGGTCTCACACCTGCCCAACCACGACCCGCCACGAAGGAACAGGGAAATGGGCCCTCTGCGGCCGGGTAAGACCCCCCCACCCTCTTCCCGCCGCTAGAAGATCCTCCAACCCCAATCGCGCCCCAACAAATCGAACGCCGCTACCAGTTCTAGGGTGCTCCAGACCTCCCAGCGCCGCCCTGGAGCCTCAGACCCTTTCCCGAAAACCACTCCCCAACCCCTCGTCACCAGCTAACTTCAACGTGCATGGGGGCTAGCAGAAGGGGCGAAATCTCGGAGGCAAGAGTCCTCCAGCGGACGGCGGCAGTTGGCCGTACCCTACTCCGAACTCCAAGTACGCGGAAAGAGGGCGGCGCGGCCCGCTGGCCGCGGGTCACTCACCCCTCGCCTCAGGCAAGCCCCTTAGCGACGTCTCTCCTTGCCGATTGCGGCCATCTTGGAAGTGGAATGTCGGGGAATACGTCATCACGCTGCGTCTCGCGACGAAAAACAAACGACTGGAGGGGCGGGGAGCGTCGGCCGCTCATCAGCCAATCAGAAGAAAATACAGCTCCCAAAAGCGGAACGAACCGCCAGTTCCCTCTCCACTCGCCGGGCGGATCAGTGGCTGCTGCGTGTAGGAGGAGGAGCCAGCCAAAGGGTCCTTTCCGTAGGCCACGCCCCCTTGGCGAAAGTGAATTCGGAAGCAACCGAACCTGCTAACGGAACTTGGGCCCGGAGGCGGGGTCCAGGCTGCCGTTACCCAATCAGAGCTCGGACATGGACAAAGTTCAGCCAATTGTGGTTTCGGGGCCGGCGGGGGCCATGTCGGCCGCTCTCGCCCCCAGAGCCTCCCGCCCAATGGCTGCACAGGACCCCAAGCGGAACGGCCGCTGGGCGGCGGGGCGGGGCCGCGCCCAGGCGTGCGAGTCGCTGACCAATGAGCGGCGGCGGCGGTGGTCCGGGGGCGGGCCCGGGGGCGGGAGAAGTCGGGTTGGGCCGCGGTGGCGGGGCCGTCTCAGGCCGCCGTCCCGCCCCTCCCGTCCGGCCGCCACCGCCGCCGCCGCGGCCTGGGGGTTGGTTGAGGCGGACGGTGGGGTCCGGACTGGACTGTGGCGCCGCCGCTGCGCGAAAGGGAGCGGACAGGTGAGCACCGGCGGCAGCCTCACGCGCGCGGCCCGCGGGCCGCGGGGACAGTCGCACTGTCGTCCCCGGGCGCCGCGAGGCCACCCTCCGGCCGGCCCGCGCCGAGTCCAGCCCTCGCCCCTGCCGGCCGCTCCGGGCCGCGGTGGGCGAGTGTGCGCGTGGGGCCGTTCACAGAGGGCCTGCGAGCCCGAGGCCACCCGGCCTCTGTCCTGTCTGGCTTGCCGGGGCGGGGGCGCCGACACCCCATTCCGCGCCAGCCGGGTCCCGGTGGTGGCAGGTGCAGGGGACGTCCCCCGCGCCGCCCGGTGTCCCCGGCCCCTCGGCGCCGCCCTCGGGTGGGGCCCGGGCCCCTCTCGCGCGCAGGTCTCTGGGCTCCGCGTGCGCCCGGGTTGCGCTCTCATTTCCTTCCTCCCTTCGGTCTCCCGGCCGCCTGGGGGAAGGTGATGTGGTTTTTATGCTTCTCGGTCTCCCAAGCCCCAGCGCCCACCGGGGCGCCCGCGGACCAGTCCCCGCTCTCTCCCTTCACTGCCCAGTTAAAAAGACAGTCGTAGAAAATAGGTCATCTTTCTTCCCACGCGCCCCTGGCCGTGGTCCACACGCGCAGTGCCATACTAGGGAGAAGAATTCAGTGCTTTAGAGTTTGTTATTCCGGTTTTAAACTCTTCCTCCTCGTGGCTCCAGCCTAGCGAAGCAACTCCGCCAATTCCTCCGTTTCCACTGGGGAGAAGGAGGCGATTAGTGACGTGCGCCACTTGCTGCGGGGGCCTCACCTCCGCCTGGTTGTGTAGGGAGGAAGACATTTAAGTGTTTCAGAAAAATGCACGCGTTCAGAATCACTTAGGACATACTCTTTTGCTCTTTTAAATAAAAGGGGCGATGTTTCAAAAGCAAAAATGCTTTTAGAATGTGTTGATAGATTAATTTTGCCTTTTCAGAAAGGACTATGATGACATTTTAAAGCTGAATTGATCAGTAACAGTCTTGGACAGCTGTTTAAGTGAATATACTCCAAGAATATAGTAAAACACAATCAGCTTTTCTCTCTACCTTTGAAATTTGCAAAGATTAGCTCGAACCACGATATACATACAGTGCTTATACGGGTTACTTTGCTTGAAGTCACACCTTATCAAATTAATCTCAGCGTCTGCTGTGATTAATATTTTGGTAAAATTCCAACAACTTGGGAATGAGTTTTTCTCTGACTTAAGAAAGTAGTTTGCAAAGTGCTGTGCTTAACAATAGAACAACCTCTTTATTGGGATCCCAAACAACCTTGGGTTTTGAGCCTTCCACTCCCACTTTCCTGTCTTGCCCTCCTTTCTCTCTGTGTATTTAAGATTGTAAATTAATATCTGAAGTGGATCTCTGGTCCGAACAGAGTGAAATGGTTGTCACTTTTCTTCGTTCTTCCAGTGTGCTATCTGTGCTTTTTTTTTTTTTTTTTTTATTAATATCTGAAGTGGATCTCTGGTCCGAACAGAGTGAAATGGTTGTCACTTTTCTTCGTTCTTCCAGTGTGCTATCTGTGCTTTTTTTTTTTTTTTTCTTGGAGTAGAAGTGATGTTGGACTTGAAGATTAAAACATTTATGCCTGTATGTGCTGCAGGAATGAGAGTTTCTGTTCATTCTCTGTCTATAAGATATAGTGCAGTGAAATTGTTACTAAGAAAGTAGTGTTGAGCTTCTCTTCCAGGTCATGGATATTTAGGCCACATTGAGTGAAGAATAAAACTTTCTTTAGATAATGAAAGAAATGTGAAGGCTGAATTCAAATATTTTCTGTTCTTCAGTTTAGTTACTAGGAAAGTTTTTGAGAACTCTGATCTAGCCATTCAACCTCCTAAAAACTTGATGCTTTCATGCCCAGAATGGCAAAGATGACAATGCTAGGGAAAGTATCAATATCAGCACAACAAGGGTTTGCTTATAGTAAAAATTTAGTGGATGATCTTGGCAACCAGTGAAACCCAGGTACAGACCCTGTGAATTCACAGGGAGTTGGTTGCAGGACACTCCCTCTGCCCCCATAGCCAAACTCAGGGATGCTCAAGCCTCTTCCATTAGATAAAAGTATGTAGTATTTGCATATAATCTGTCTACATCATCCCATAAACTTTTTAGTCATTTGTAAATTACTTATAATACCTAATATAATGTCAATACTATGTGAATGGTTGTTGTAAATAGTTGTTATACTGTGTTATTTAGGGAATGATAAGGGAAATAGTCTGTACATGTTCAGTATGGATTTTTTTTCCCCAAATATTTTGATCCATGGTTGGTTGAATCTGGATATAGAACCCAAGAATGAGGGTTGGGAATGTGTGATTGTACATAGTTTATGTCCTATGGAATTTTAGTAGAAATATGAGTAAATATGCTGTCTCCAAGTCAGGGTTCCTCTGAATGCTTTCTGACTAGATGTCAATTTAGTTTAAGACTTTAAAAGCCTCTTAAATGTTTGAATTACATAGTCTCCTTTTTACTTTCACTAACTGAAGTAGCTGTTAGAAATGTAACTAATAACACTGTATCTTTGTTGTGTATGGTTTGATGAATGTCTTCCACTGGGAGGTTTTTTATCTTTGGAAACCTCACCTACTCCTGGCTACAGTGCATGGTGCTTCTGTTGGGGGTGGGGAGGAAGTTTCTAGTAAGTGTGTTTCCTCTCCCTGGACCAAAGTCCTGGGAATAGAACCATGATCATGTTGCCCCAGAGAGGAAAAGGAGTCATTTATTAATGTGACATTCAATATTTTTAATAGAACGGTTGAATATATCTTCTTTCTAATGTTACTTTGGAAGTTGCTAATGGCCAGTTATTTGCTTTCTCAATTGGCTTATATTTTCACCTTTATAGTTATGTTGATTTATTAGTGAAAAATATTTTGATTTTCTGTGCATCCTTTTTCTCTTCTTACAGTCAGAAACATTTTTATCTTAAATATCATTCTGGTTCATAGTTAACGAGTTAGGATTTAAGGATTCCTTACTTAAAAGTTTGTATGATTTTCACTTTTGTTGCAGTTATAGGTACACCTTACTTGGCAAAATGGATTGCTATGCATTGGATTTCCTCTTACTAATTCATTTTCCTATTCACAAAATTGAAGATATTCATTATTTTGATATGAAAACAATAGTTTTTACTTTCAAGTTAAAAATATATTTCTGACAGTATTCTTATATTTTTCTATTACAAGGGGTTTGACAATTTGTAAACAAACTTGTAGAGAAGTTTACTAGTTTACTAGTCTTATGAAAAAAACTTAATTCACAGAAGCTTATTAACCTATTAATAAGTCCAGTTTTTTGTTGTTAAATTCACCTAGCTGGCAATTAGCTACATAGACCCCATTTCCATTTAGGAGTCTCCTCTAGGTTTTTGTAGTAAACAGATCACAAATCAGAGGTRCCAACATAGTTATTAACAATTTGAACCTGAAATAAACTTGAACAAAAAAATACTTCGTATGATAATGAATCAAATTCTAATACTAAAGTTAAGACTTTGAAATTCTTCCCCACCCCCCTTCTTATTTCAAGTATTTTCCAAGACATGAACTATCTAGATTAAGGTAAGTCCAAACCCTCCTGGCTGACAACGGAAGACAGGGCACACTCTCAAGTTAAGCTTTTGTAAAGGCTCTGAGTGGCACTGATTACCAAGCCACAGTGAAATTTTAATCTTTTACAAACCTAGCCTCAGGAATGGGGTGGGGAGAGGGGAGAGCAGAGCAGCAGCAGGAAGAAATATTTTCACTCTTTAAGAAGGACTGAAAATTGTGTAGACAATATAGATAATCATGTGATAAACAAGAACTCTTTAAAAAATTTTTTGGGTTGGTAGTAACAATTGTATATACATAGAATTCTTAGTAAATATGCAGTATTTTAGGTTTGTTACTATCTGATCCTGACTTTCACTGCCCTTTTTTTAAATAAAATACTTCACTAGAATATAACAAGATCTGTGGATTTTATTTTATTAATTTTATTTTTTATATTTATTTATTTTTTTAGGTGTAGATGGATACAACACAATGCCTTTATTTTTATGTTGTGCTGAGGATCAAACCCTGGTCCCGCCCATGCTAGGCGAGTGCTCTACTGCTGAGCTACAATCCCAGCCCAAGATCAGTGAATTTTAAAGTTTCAGTTTTGTAAAATAGACATGACTCTTCAATATTATAGTTGTCTATTAAGCATATTCAAGAGAAAGTAAGAATTATCATTAAAGTTGCTTTTGCCATAAAGTATTTACCTGTAATTTAATTAAATTTACTAGTAAATTTTTCATTTGTTGATTGTAATAATTTAGCATTGTCATGGTTACCTAATTGGTTTGTGCAGGTTTTTGATGAACAGCAAGTGTGGCATTGCAGAACTCAATGCGGGATGCGCCTGATTGGGTGGAAGCTCCTTTGCAAATTTCACTCTTGTCTCAAATTAAACCTCAGGCCACTCCTGACAAGGCAAAGAATAGTTTTATACTTTTCAAAGACCAAAGAGGGAAAACCTTTACCCCTATATGTTTTATTATTGCAGGAAAATATGGTTATTTTGACATTAGGGATAAGCAGTGAACTTTTGGGCTTTCATAAATGTTGGTTTTGAGCTGAATCCTTGATGTTCTATTATTGAGTATCAGTAAAGTTTGTCATCAAGTGTGCTTGTCAGACTGCTACCAACTTGAGTGTCATCTTGCATACATCAGCTACTTTCTTTAAGGATCAGCTTTCTCATCTATAGAGGGGCATGATAAAAATTTTTGTAAAATGCTCACCTCAGTTTCAATACATAGTAAATGACCAAATGAGGCAATTATGTAGAGGTTGATCATGTTGGGGAATTGCTACTGTAAATGACAGGGATGACACCATTTTTGGCAGCCTGGAATGTTATCCTGAAAGAAACAGCGTGATAGTTACCATGAATAATCACCTTAACTTCAAAATTTCAGTTGTTTAATATAGCACATCTGTTTTGCTAAAGTT